GAGATTTCGCATGGTTGTGTTGAAACGTCATGAAGATGACCTCCTTGAGATCATGTTTCAAGTTGTTCGGCTTGGAACTGAATAAGTTTGACATCTGACACGATGAAATATTGAATGCCTTAAACATTAGACCGAGGGGTGTTGGTACAGTGATCAGCGCAATGTGCAATAAACCCCAGCGAAACCTCAGTTCAATTCCTGTCCCAAGCTAAAATCAGTAGCAAGTGATACCTCATTCATGCGGTCCTGGGCCTCCATACCCCCACCACCCCCACCACCACCGCCCTTGCTTCAGCAACACGAGCTGACCAGCGTGGTGGAGTATGGTCAAATAAAAGCCCCAAGACCCACGTGACATGTTGAAGCCTTCATCCAGCAGTGGATCAGGAAATGTCTAAAAAGAATTGTATTGTTATATCCTCATCAACATTTTGATCAGCCATGGGCTATCGACTCCTGCATAAACACCTCCAACCCCCAACCACCCCAAGCGCCACCATCAGACGACTGTAAACATGAACAGTCATCCAAAATGGTGCACTTTGCCAAAATAAATGATCGTGCAAGCTCAAGCATTATTTTTTAAGTGTTCAACAAAGGTTCCAAGACTTTAGTCTCACGCAGACTTAAAAACACAGTTTATCCTTCACTTTGATACTGCGGGCATCTTTAAGGCATTAATCACAACAAACAAACAAAAAATTGCCCCAGATTTTCCACTGAGAATTTACATTCATAAACAGAAGCTTTAATATCGTGCCCCAGAACCATCTGAGTAAATAGAGTTTCAGTGGGGCTCAAGCCACGGGCAGTGTTTGGGTGCAGGGGAAAACCACACACCAATGGGGGGGGGGGGGTTGAACTTGGAAGCAGAACACTCATTTGTCTGATCTCAAAGAGATGTCAGCCCTTGGCAAAATCCCGACAGCCTTTTGGCTCTGGTCAAGGCAGGTATACTAAATTAATATGTGAAGGATCCATCTGAAAAGAGAGAGGTAGAGGGGAGATTGTCTCCCCCCCCCCCCCCCCCCCCCTTTGTCAAATGTAATAACTATGTACTTATCGGTAAATCTATATTGACACTGTTACCCCCAGACCAATAGCCTTTATGGTTTTCTGTCGGCGGAAAGAATGGGAGTAAAGCGGGTTTTGAAACAGCCAGCGCCGACTGGCACGAGCAATAAAATGATTTCATAAGGTGTGCAAACAAACCGTATGAAATCTCTCGAAGGGTAATGATTTGTTTTCCAGCCCAACCCCCCATCGTATACATCTGGAAGTGCAATTTGAGCGTGTATGGCGCGGAGCGATCATTGTTTATTTGACTCTAAAATAAAAGATAATTGCAACTGCAGCTTCGAATTGTTGTATGTGTACAGCTTTGGCCACCAAACCGATCCACAAGGTCTCGCTCTACTTCTGTAATACAATTTGTACTTTGCGATATATCGCGCAGTAGCAGTGGAATGAAACCCCCAAAAAAATGTCAATGTTGACTTTAAAGTGCATGATAAAGTCTATTGTGATATTGCATGTGTTGATATTGATTATTCTCCCATTTCCGGTAGCATTTTTTTTTAGGAAAAGACACTTATAAAATCAATAGGGTACAGAGACTATTACAGAGTACAGTATCGAAAATAATTAATCATTTACATCCCTTTCGCCTATCTGCTGCTGGATGAAGGTCTTCCCACGTCCGTACCGGTCATAGGGGCTGCTTGGTCAAACTCCATCGTGCTCGTCAGTGAGGGTTGGTAACATGATCGTCCCAAAACCGGTTTTAGACTTCACTCGCCACTGATGTCAGCCGTTGCTGGGATTTAACTCCGGTCACCAGGTCCGTAGCGCAATTAGAATAACCACTGCGGCATATAAAGTATTTAGGTTTTTTTTTTTATTTACAGGCCTCTTTCAAGGAGCATAAGCCATCATGCAAACTCCGGATCATCATCGCAGCAGCGGCTTTTTGGCAGGCCGTCGAACAAAGACCGTCACCGCATCGTGCGCTTTCAGATGCGCTTATGCGGCCGTCTGGAACGCTCTGCCTTCCAATATTAGGAAGCCACGAGGAGCTATGCACTTTTAATTCTAGATTGAAAACTCATTTATTCATAACTGCTTTTTTGTATTCTTAGCTCTTTCGGTAAAGTCACATTGAAGGGAAACAATAAAATAATAATATATATAAAACAATAAAAATTCTCACGACTTTTCGACAATAACACAAACGGTTGTCATCAGGTGTGTCGGTTTGCATAAATTTATTTATTTTAAAACGGTGTATTTATTTATTTGTAAAAAAAACCCGTCAGCGCCACGCGCAGCGATTTTTTTTATAAATAAATACACCGTTTAAAAATAAATAAATTTATGCAAAATCGACACACCTGATGACGACCGTTTGTGTTATGGTCGAAACGTCGTGAGAATGTTTTTATTGTTTTATATATTTTTTATTATTTAATTGTTTCCCTTCAACGTGACTTTACCGAAAGAGCTAAGAATATGAATTACTGCAGTCACGAAAGCTTTAAATCAAAATTTTACTGCTTTTTGTATTTAGTTCGTTGCATTTCCCCCGCACCTCCCATTGTCACGGTTGGCTATGTACGGTGTGAAAGACATTCAACATACATACATACAATCCACTGCTGTATGAAGACCTCCCTATGTCAGATGGACCATGATTAACGTTTGGAATACTGAACGACGCTGGCCAGTACGAAGGACCTGTCAAGGCCGGTGGGCGAGACCGGGGCCCCGGTTCAGACATCATTCGCCACTGGTGTTAGCCGTGACCAGGAATTGAACTTTGATCATTGAATTCACAACACAGCGAGCCAACTACTGCCCCACCACCCTCAGTATGGAGTTTATATACCTCACAAGAAGAAAATGTGCTAAATAGCACCATATGCAGCTTTGTAGACCAAATCGTAGCCCAAATGTTAGAGTCTCAGCGGTGCTTACGAGGAAAGGTGGCTTTTATTTGCGCAGGTGCCTCGCGCAATCTCATTCAAGTAGGCACATACCATTGGTGGCATTACCAGCTTAGGTTTCCAATTCCTGCTCCCAAAAGAGCTGTGGTAGGCCACTTAAAATCTGTAATGTATTGGGATGTTTTAAAAATTGTGTATTTTACCGAAAGCCTCATGAATCACTACAGGAATGGAAGCAAGCCGTTATATATTTTATAATAATAACCATGTCCTTTATCCACGAAAGCCATGCTCAGTCTCAAGATTATTTTTCAAGAGTGCCATGCTTTGGGACATTTGGACAATTCCAGTTCTCCACATTTGGCTTCATGTGGAAAGAAACCGAAGTCCCCACAGAAAACCCAAGCACACATGGGGTAACGCTCTAAAATCTCCACAGGTAGATTCAAGAAGACGCTGTTGTGCTGCCATCTGGTCATCTGAAACCCTCATTTTTTTTTACTCGCAGTCTTCAATCCAAGTGGCTACGGATAGCGATCTAACTATTATCTCCCCCCGTGAGGAGCCACCAAAATTATCGCGATTCTGAGTCGCAAATTGATTCCAACAACACTTTTTTTTTTTTAACTGTGGTAAACGTCGCGGTCTCTAGTGGCCGGAGGAATGAAGTGAACTCATTATATTCAACACATATGATCCACAGCACGTCAACTGTAACACAAAGAAAAGCGATGCTCGATTGAGCATCACAACCGTGAACTTGAGATTCGACGAGTCGACGCGTTCGTTACATCCATGCCAGGCCGGGCTCAATGCCGCGTAGCGTCTGAGATCCGGCGAGGATGGGAACATTCACGGTGCTTTTGGTGGTCGGTAATAAATTGAAGCATCCGCTCACAGCGAGTGGCCGCTTGCACAAAGCACGCAAGCCACAAGACGAGTGACCAATCTACGGGGTTGAGCTCTCTACTTTTCTTACATCTCTCTCTCTTACTTCTCATACTTCTCCACTTCTCTCTCTCTCTTACTTATCATCTTACTTCTCTCTCTCTCTTACTTCTCTTACATCTCTCTCTCTCTCTTACTTCTCATACTTCTCCTCTTCTCTCTCTCTTACTTATCATCTTACTTCTCTCTCTCTCTCTCTTACTTCTCTTACATCTCTCTCTCTTACTTCTCATACTTCTCCACTTCTCTCTCTCTTACTTATCATCTTACTTCTCTCTCTCTCTCTTACTTCTCTTACATCTCTCTCTTTTACTTCTCATACTTCTCCTCTTCTCTCTCTCTTACTTATCATCTTACTTCTCTCTCTCTCTTACTTCTCTTCTCTCTCACTCTCTTACGTCTCCTCTGACGCATCCTCATACTTATCATACCTCTCCTCCGCACATGGGTTTCTCAAACAGAACTCCGGTTTCCTCCCAGTTGCAAACAAGTAACCGAGGAAGAATTTTCTGAAGAAGAACCTTGATTGGAACGTCCCATTGCATCGCTTCGTCCATTTTTACACCCGCTGTACGCCCGTCGCACCTCCGATTAGCACGGTTGGCTACGCACGATCAGCGCGGTTGGCTACGTATGTTGCGAAAGAAGTTCAACGTACATCCATCGGACTGCGGGTGCACCAAACCAATATTTGCAATTCATGAAAAAAAGGTGTATGCAAATGCTCAGGTCCAATTGAGGCGCGAGGAATTAACAAAACTGAACAAGCGAAATGCAGCCAACTGGGAAACAATAGAAACGAGCCGATAAAAATTCACCGAATCACTCCCATGAATCGTTACGATTCACCGAATCACTTCAGCAAGCGCGTACAGTGAATTGTTGTCACTGGCTGCCTAAAGTCTTAGCAGGACCATCCTGAAAAATATTCCAGTGATCTTGTCCTCGGTAAAGATTTATAACGACGAAGCCCTTTGTAATATATACGCTGCTGTTTCTACAAACAAACAAAAGCGCCGAGGCAATAGAGAAAGTGGACCCATATTTCGTGACTACTCCTGAAAGCCACGCGGCCACATGGGTCTGTTGTGAAATTCATATTGGACCCACCTGGCAAGAAGGGGATTGTCCTCAGCTTGGGGTCTCTCTGCCCTCCCTCCACTGGAAACTTGTCCAACAGCTGCATCTGTGAAAGGCAAGAATAAAAAAAAAACATAAATCAACAAAAGCTGTTTGTCTTCCCCTTTGTGTCTTGATTTTTTCCGCCTGAGGACGACCGCTTGTGTTGCTTTTTTATTATTTTTTTATTTTATTATTTCTACCTACGTGACTTTACCCAAAGAACCAAAGAGTATGGTTCCCCTTTGTAATTTTTTGCCATCTTTTTTTGGTTTATCAGATGTCTGCTGACATTTAAGAATTGCCGGTAAAGGGTTGAGGTGCAACCCTGCAATTGCTTTCTCACTCCACTGCTGGTGGAAAAGGACCTCCACCAGAGCGAACTCTCGGGTGCCCCTCTACAGGACATATTTGGCCTACTCTTCTACGGGGGACGCTTCTCTTCATAAGGGAGAAATCCTCAAAATACCCCGGTGCGGGGCGTACTCAGGCAAATGGACTTAAAAAAAATCCAATCTGGGACGTGATGGTGCATTTAGTTTTTATACGTGTCAAACCACTGACACATTCTACAATTAAGCCGCCGCATTTTTCAAATCAATACATAATTACCTTCAATGTGCCACCACCACACACGTATACATCGAGGAAGATTTTGAAATTTCGACTGTCAGGTTACCTGATTTGTATAACTTCCCTTCATCACACCGCCAGGGGAAGGGGAGGGGGTGTGCAGTATTGGGTGAATAATTACATGACTACATTACAGCATATACATTAGTAATATATATATAACATGGCATAAGTAAACATCGCGTGGGTGAGTGCTATATCAAAAGCGAGCAGGACGAGAGGAAAAAGCAGCGTTTTGGCCGATAGCCACCATGAGTAACATATAAATATAAACCGGTCATGCCCCACCCCCCCCCCCCCCCATTTCATTAGAAAGTGACTCCAAGGTACAAGATTGAGCTTTTAATACAGGCCCCTGAGCGTTTATTGAACCGCGTGTAATCCATCATGCTTGCATTGCCGGCGCTATATGCTCCAAATGTCATCGCAGCGTTGCGACGCGAGGCATACAAATAAGGGGGAGGCGGGGCCCTTGCCACAATCCTCCTCCCGTTTGTTGCATCGTCGGGAGTCGACGGCGGGCGTTTGCGAAAAACCCTCCTCGGGCAGCCTACGACGCCGCTAAAACTTCTGAAGCCCGCGCGGCAAGCCACTCCATCCGCTCGGTGGAGAAGCCCATCGATGGCTGTGAAGGGCCAGTGACGTGTGGAAGCAATCAGTTGTGAATGGGGGGGGGGGGGGGTGGGGGGCGAGCGGGTGGGGCTTAATTAACGAAGCGTGGTCAATTTTTCGCTTAGTCCGCCAGCGATGAACACGGAACTATATTGGGGGGGAGGTTGTTACCACCTCATTTCGTATTGTTTCTCACCATCTATGTTTTGTGTTACAGGTTTGTCTGTCCCGTTAATCGAGAGGTAGCATGGTTTTCATGCATCATTAATAACCGATGGTTGTCAATGCATATATAATGATCGCATACAAATATGAATCCCATGAATCTCATATTTGTTAATCGAATATTTTACATTGTTTGCACACTTTGATTCATCCCATTAGCCTAAATACAGTGAGGGAAAAAAGTATTTGATCCCCTGCTGATTTTATACATTTGCCCACTGACAAAGAAATGATCAGTCTATAATTTTAATGGTAGGTTTATTTGAACAGTAAGAGACATAATAACACCAACACAATCCAGAAAAAACGCATGTCAAGAATGTTATAAATTGATTTGCATTTTAATGAGGGAAATAAGTATTTGACCCCCTCTCAATCAGAAAGATTTCTGGCTCCCAGGAGTCTTTAATACAGGTAACGAGCTGAGATTAGGAGCACACTCTTAAAGGGAGTGCTCCTAATCTCAGCTTGTTACCTGTATAAAAGACACCTGTCCACAGAAGCAATCAATCAATCAGATTCCAAACTCTCCACCATGGCCAAGACCAAAGAGCTCTCCAAGGATGTCAGGGACAAGATTGTAGACCTACACAAGGCTGGAATGGGCTACAAGACCATTGCCAAGCAGCTTGGTGAGCAGGTGACAACAATTGGTGCGATTATTCGCAAATGGAAGAAACACAAAAGAACTGTCAATTTCCTTCGGCCTAGGGCTCCATGCAAGATCTCACCTCGTGGAGTTGCAATGATCATGAGAACGGTGAGGAATCAGCCCAGAACTACACGGGAGGATCTTGTCAATGATCTCGTCAATGATCTCAAGGCAGCTGGGACCATAGTCACCAAGAAAACAATTGGTAACACACTACGCCATGAAGGACTGGAATCCTGCAGCGCCCGCAAGGTCCCCCTGCTCAAGAAAGCACATATACATGCCCGTCTGAAGTTTGCCAATGAACATCTGAATGATTCAGAGGACAACTGGGTGAAAGTGTTGTGGTCAGATGAGACCATAATGGAGCTCTTTGGCATCAACTCAACTCGCCGTGTTTGGAGGAGGAGGAATGCTGCCTATGACCCCAAGAACACCATCCCCACCGTCAAACATGGAGGTGGAAACATTATGCTTTGGGGGTGTTTTTCTGCTAAGGGGACAAGACAACTTCACCGCATCAAAGGGATGATGGACGGGGCCATGTACCGTCAAATCTTGAGTGAGAACCTCCTTCCCTCAGCCAGGGCATTGAAAATGGGTCGTGGATGGGTATTCCAGCATGACAATGACCCAAAACACACGGCCAAGGCAACAAAGGAGTGGCTCAAGAAGAAGCACATTAAGGTCCTGGAGTGACCTAGCCAGTCTCCAGACCTTAATCCCATATAAAATCTGTGGAGGGAGCTGAAGGTTCGAGTTGCCAAACGTCAGCCTCGAAACCTTAATGACTTGGGGAAGATCTGCAAAGAAGAGTGGGACAAAATCCCTCCTGAGATATGTGCAAACCTGGTGGCCAACTACAAGAAACGTCTGACCTCTGTGATTGCCAACAAGGGTTTTGCCACCAAGTACTAAGTCATGTTTTGCAGAGGGGTCAAATACTTATTTCTCTCATTAAAATGCAAACCAAATTTATAACATTTTTGACGTGCGTTTTTCTGGATGTTGTTGTTGTTATTCTGTCTCTCACTGTTCAAATAAACCTACCATGAAAATTATAGACGGATCATTTCTTTGTCAGTGGGCAAACGTACATTTGCACTTATTAGGCATCTTTCACAAGGTCTCAATGCACCGTAAATGATATGCTAATACTACACTGGCATATCGTTGTAACATATTTTGCATATATTGTAAATACAGTTTGTACTTTCACGCGCCCAGTTTTCAAGCCTGTATCATGAGTGAATTTCCCTTCTTCTGGATGTTGACACTGATTCAGGAGGTTGGGGTTTCCCCAGACATTTCACGTTTCACATGGCTTCCATTACAATTACACGACACATCCACCCATGCGTATTCAATTCATATGGCTGTGCGACATGTAAACACTGATTACATTTTACAAAGGATGGAGAGCTATAATTTAGCGCATATATACATGACCTGTGATTAGTAAAAAAAATCCGTAAGTATTATAATTTAGCTCCTGTCAATCCACTGCTGGATTAAAGCCCCTATCCACATTGCGACATTGTGGAGGTTATTTGACCTTACATAACCGGTTCAGATATCACTATCCACTGACGCTAGCCATGATCGGGAAACGAACTCAGGTTGCCAGGTTCGTGGTGCCTTTCCAGAAAAACGAATGTTTTGAACTTGGGCCCCAAAAAATTACGGCCCTGGGGGTTGATTCATTCTTCTAGGGCAGGGTAGGCCAACACATTTACTGTTTTTTAGGTCTCACGTTAAACACTTATTAATGTATGATCCCCATCATCAGCGAGCCACATAGCTCACCTCCAGTGGATTCTAATATTAAAGCTGGTAGAAAGCAAACAATAATAAAAAGAACCCACAAGTTTCAAACAACACCACAAACATTTACATATCACTCAGCCTTGCCAGTCAGTCAGTTACATTCACTCAAATGTTTACTGATGGTGACCTAAGACAACAGAGGACCATAATGCAGTTCTTCAGGAACTATTGGTGGCTTTTGCATAATGCACAAAGGCCGAGCGCTTTTTAGACGTCTTTTGAGTTTTTCTGAAACTTCAAGCGGACAAAGTCCACTTGCGATTTCTGCTAGCACGAATGTGCAGCACAGTACTCTACACGCGGCTGTACGCATATATGCATGTGTATGTATGTTGAACTTCTTTCACACAACACGTAGCAAACCGTGACAATCGCTGATGTGGGTGAAGGACAACAAACTAAACACAAACGGAAGTTCCAAAGAGATGAGAGGACGACCAGAGTTGGCGTGATGGGTGTCTGCTCCTTGACGAGCATGTCCATGCACAGGACAGTATTGACGTGCGACGTTACGAATGTTGCACTGGAAATGCCTAGAGAGGCAGCGGATCAGAGTGGGCTCGTCGCGAAGCGCAGCGGAGGAAGGCGGTGGGTGCGCAAGAATTACGTTCCGGCGCACGACGAGGAAAATATCTGCAGTGAACGTGAATCAAGCTTTTCATTAGTGCAAGCCTCTATGAAAGGGTGCCTGTAAAACAACAACAACAAGAAGAAGCACGGAGACCGCACTCGGCATTCATCTGACTTAGCAATAATAATAATGACTATCATTTACAGCCGTTTGTGGAATTCACTATTACGTGAAAGCAATCCTCTACAACTTCGTTGATCATGAGCAGTTCTTTGACCATACTTCACCAAGCCGGTGAGTATGGACAGGCGAAGCGGAGGGGTTGGCGATCACAGGGTTGGTGAAGCAATCAAACTAAGCAATCGCGAACCAGAGTTTTCAAAAGCAAGATCAGGTCAATGTGCATTGCAGTGGGCAGTGGCTGTGGCAGCGCAGTGCTGTGGTCAAGAATACGCCCAAACTACCCTGAATACAAACTCACAGAAGATGGAAACCGGTCCAGACTTCGCTTGCCTAACAAATTCTGCTGGGATATTGATTTTGAAAGACCGTAATTTAAAGTTTTCAACATTAGTTTGTTTAACCGGGTGACGACTCGAGATCGGCTGGTGGGACTAGGAAACATTCACATGTATATATGGAGACGCAGAACAGACTTCCGCTTATATTTGCTTTAATACCATTCTGAAGTCAAGAGTGTGACGAGTCCAGAGATGAAGGCCTCAGCCTTAGGAGCTCTAGGACCTGGGTTTGAGATCAAAGTCAAGGCCCCCACGGACAGCTTTCCCGTCGTGCCACATTCACGTTCAAAGCAGAAGGCGAAGAGTGAAAAATAATAAATAACATCGAGAAGAAAAGCAACCACCCCACCGCCACCTCCATCACCGCCACCACCACCACCACCACCCGCCGACCCTCCAGCTAGCTACACACACACACTGACGCCACGTGGAGTTAGGGAGTGTGCTAAATTTAGCTCGACATCCGGAAAGCAACTTCAGGTGGGGAGTAAAACCATCCATCTGGGAGCAATCATGGCCACATGCCCTCCTGTCCCCCCCCCCCACCACGCTGCCAGCTTCTCACCACGAAGCCCAGTTAAGAATATGTGAACGATTCTGTTGATAAACTAAAGGACGTACGAGGGATATATTCTGCTGCTTTCTGCAGATTTCACAGAGGTCCTTGAGGAACGAAAATGGGAAGAAGATATGTATTTTTACTCTCTCTCTTGCTCAAAACTTGTGTAATCTGTTGTATTGGTTGATAGAGCCATAGATATTATTAAAGTTTCGTGCCCAGCATCTTGGCTTCTCTCCTTACTCGCGTCGTTTAACTGTGTGCAGCCAATTTTTGATTTGACCGAAATTAAGTGAGAACGCTGTTGAAATCAACAGTGAACTGCAACATGTCTGACAAATGTGTGCTCAGAATATACTGCCTAGCTTGTACACACAAACAGCAGCTCAATGGTGTGATGTCTCGTGAAATTTTAAAATGTTAAACCACTGCCGGATGGTCAATCCGGGTTGGTGTAGAAGGGGTTGGCCCAGGACCGGTTCAGATATCGCTCACTAGTTGACGTTTTCCCTGGCCAGGAATCAAACTCAGGACGCGAGTTAATTGCACCGTGCATGAACCATTGCAATAACCATTGTACAGAACTGCAGACGTTTTATATTCCTCATTGTGTTTTTTTTCAAGTAATACCTTTGGTGGGCTACAATGTGTGATGTCCAGCGCTCTCTCTTCTCACCCAACCGGCCAACAATTCTGGAAGTTTGTGAGGATTTCAAAACAAATTTAAACCACGTGAGAGTCCACAGAGACCGTATGTCTGCTTTTCAAGGCAGTCCCGGGGTCACAGAGCAGAACGGTAAACTAAATGGTCAAAACAACATCGTAAAACCTCTGAATGAAATGAAGCGTTCCTCAACAATAAACAGAGGGGCATCAAGTGCAAACATAGAACGGTGCTTCGGGTAATATAGGCGTCAACTGTGGTATATTGTGTAGTGTAAAAAGCAATTACATTCACAGCGACCAAATAACAATCCCAATTTCCCATTACAAGTCGACCAAGACGGAATAGTTTTTTTTTTTAAATATGCACGAGGTGCATCATGACAAAAGGAGCGGTGGCGCAGTGGTTAGCATACTCACTCACTCCACCATGAGCCGGGAGACCTGAGTGCAACTGCTGGCCCGTGCTAACGCCAGTGGTGAGTGGGTATCGAAACCATTGCTGGGCACCCCCCTCGCAAACCCGCACTGACCAAAGCGGTGAAGTATGGTCAACTAACCCCAATGAGCGAGACGACGTGGAGATGCCATCATCCAGCAGTTGAATTGACAAAGGCCCGTGAGCAAAGTCATTTACTCGTGGGACAAATATTCCAAAATACGTAAAGCGTTTCACCCACCGTCTTGATTAACGTGCAGTGTGCGGGTTTCCCTTTACATTAACCGCACCCAGCACAGAAAAAGGTGAAATGTATAAAGATAAGCTGAACGAGTATTACATATGCAATTTAAGACACGAGCAGATAGCACAAGCAACATATAATTCTTGCTCGCTAACGCATGATAATCACTGATTTAAGAGATTACAAGGCATTGACAAATATATATACTAGGACTGCCAAAATGCATCATCCTTTTTGAGTACCATTCATGGCTCTACTAACTGCTCATAGCTGCCCGTGAATTTCGCAAAAAAAAAGTATTTTCAACAGCAACAGAACCTATCCGTCCAAAACAAAGATGAAGGAGATTTAAAGGTCATGAAATGCATGAGATGTGTGTTGGTTAATTCTTTTTTAAAGCAATCACTTCATTAAAATGTACTTTTTTTCTTTTTCACAAGAGCATTTCATGTTTTATATACCATAAAAAAATCAAAGCTGCTCCTCCCCCCACACCCATTTCATTGGGTATCTTTAACCTGCTGCAAATCACAAATGTCCATTAAAAATAGGTCAACCCATTTGAGAAAGTTTGCAGTGCAGTGTTTGTGGAAGGCTGTTAGGAAACAAACACTGAGCCATAAATCAAGCGACTAAATATCTGACAATGCTCTACGAGAAAGACGAAGCTGAACATTAAATAGTTCACCCATCTGACCTCCTATCCCCTAGATGCTTAAGAGGCCAAGGTGCAGTTCTTGTTGAGCTAAGGCTCCCTTGTATAAGCGTTACCGGTCTAGAGTGATCAGGCAACTTGTAATTACTAGACTTTGCTGTAACGGCGCTGGCAAAGGTGCAGCACTGCAGTTGTGCTCACTCAGGCCACTGCTGGTGGAAGGGTCTTCCACTGGAGGGATCTCCAGACAGTCCCTTCGGATAACTGTGTTGTGTTCTTATACAATTCTGGGCTCGATAGGAGTACCGGGTGACCAAATCACCCCGAAGGCATTGATTTTGGTCGGGGTGTGCGGTTAGTCGGCGTCAGCTCAGCGCCATGATTTCTGAGCCACCCAAAAGCTTCACCGCCTCAGGAGAAGACGTAAACTTCTTTTTTTTATGATGAAAAAAAATAGGATTCACCCTTTCCGGCAACGAACATGTTTCCAACGGCAGAAGTCTGAGCGTGATCAAATGTCGCCCTGGCTGTGAAACTTATCTGGCCCCACTTTTGTTTCTGCGCGAAGATAACAATAACACAAACAGCCATCTGCCCGTCTGTTTACCCTGCCCTCCCCTAAATGTAAAACAAGACATTTGACACCGCTCCCCTTGGCACAGACAAATCGTGGTCGAATCTACACTGGGCAGCTGCTGCGGATCATCGCTGCTCCCCCCCTCCTCGCCACACCGAAAACAGACCCCGCAGACGGCAACAGCTGAGCGGCAGCGGTGGCACAAGCCACAAAGAGGGCTGCCTTAACCACATGGATCCCCGCGTGATTCGCCCTTCTCGGCGCGTTTCATCGCCGAGTAAATAACGAGCGGGCGTCGACTTTTTTTTTGACAGCGTGCACTTCATTACGGTTGTTGCGAACGGGTCTGGGTTGTCGGGCAACTGCCAAGTGGGCCGCGTTAACAACCGGCGCAGGAGCCGCATCCGACTCGATAAGGGAGCTAAAGTTCAGGGCGCAGCCTGTCGCCCACTGCCCGCTGTCGGCGAGGAAGACCGTGACGTGTGCAGTGACCCGAGTGGGACCAGGCCGGTGATTCTCAACTCCATTCCTCACAACATTAAAGCCTCACAAATTTTAGACAATTGGGATTATACTCAGCAATCATTGCCTCCTCCCCCCCCCCACAGAATAGTGCTCCAGGTCACTGTGGCAAATCCCGGTCTCTTCAGATCTCACATGATTAAACGAAAGAAATCAAACCTTTAAAAAAGGGTGTCACGATCCGCACGATCGCGATTTCCGATCGTTGTTTTTATACGTATGCAAATTCAGCCACCGCACACCTTATGAAGCCGATTGTTTTAACCGCTCGCAGCCTAAGAAGTGAAAAAGCCACACAATTGGATGGTGAACTGCAGAAGTCTGACAAACACTTGCTCAGAATGGCCCAGTCTGTATTGCAGACACACAAAGTACAGATTTTGTATGCTCATGCAAAGCAAAAAAAAAGTCAACCCACTTCTGGATGAATGGCTCCAAATACCATACAGTGAGGGAAAAAAAATATACCTTTTTCCCTCACTGTATATATTAAGTAACCTGATTATGTCAAGTGCATAATAAGTGTCATTAATAGCAACGTTCTCTCATCTAAGAGGGCCCTTTTAAACCTAAAATACAAAACAATACAATTTCAATCCGTGAATCTTCCGTGTGTGACCACAGCTTAATGCATGGCACGGACAGGACCAAGTCAGGCATGCCGTCAGATTGTGGGCAAAGACAAGGATTATCATTTTAATTTCCAGATTTAAAACGACTGCAATTGCAGAGCATTTATTTCCCCCTCCGGGGCCTCTCGCGCATGGCAGTTTATTTTGATGAACAATCTTTCTATTAAAGGCACATTTCCCCATTTCCTAGAACGGTTACATTAGAGGAGTTGCACATAAAGGGCAGCTTAGCGTTAAAACAAAAATGTTTTCTGCTCCCTTGGGTAGTCTTTATGGAGGGAGGGGTCCCCTCCCCCCAGCTGTATTCGCACTATGGGCGGTAGGTCCACTACAATGCATATCCCGTTGTTTGCTACGGCTCTTCGGATATTGGGGAATATTATCTACCGTGCGAGTCCAAGTCAAAAGGGCACCCAGACCAGGGTTGCTGTCGAGCTGTAACGCTCAGAACACCGCCCTTGCAATCCATATAGTCTGTCGCTTCCATCTCTCGGCACGGGAGTTGAAACAGTGGCACACGTTTATTGAATGCCCACCCCCCCCCCCCCCCCAGCAGCAGTATGAATGGATTCACCACGGTTAGTCGATTGTCAGGTCACGTGCGGTGAGGTAAAGTGCCGGGTACTCCCAGCTCTTGCAAGATTCGTCTTGCCAGCGCGGAAGAGTACGCCTAAATACCCTTTACAGGGGGCTCCGTAAAGCTCCCGCCAGTGAGGACCCTTCGACCAGCAGTGTCGTGTGCGAGCGATTGCAGGTCTGTACCAGCAGCACCCGATGGCATTCTCTAGCGGGACATGGCAAGAGACCCGTTCAGCTCCCCTAAGCATACGGGACAGCCGACCTAATGAGGAGTGGTTGCCCTCTATCACGCCCTTCCTCCCGCACAGCAGCCGCGCCGGGAGCTGGGATTGGGGTTTAAAGAGACAAGCCTTGAGCTGCTAACCCTTGCTCTCAGAGACACGTGCGGTTGTCTCCGAGCCAGCCCGTGTGATAAATGGATCGACAGCCGAGAAGCGGGCCATGCGTTTCGAGACGTAAGCCGTGCTTGCAGAATGTGTGTTTCCAATAAAAAAATAAAAAGATCTAAAACCGCTCGCGAAATGTCAAATGTGCATGAGTTTATATGCCACATGTCAAATGGATATGCTTGCTGCGTTGTTAAAATATTATTACTTTTTACCAGAGAGCATGAGTGCATGACAAACATTGCATATGACCATATAAATATAACTCAAGTTGCTCACATTGAACAAGACAGAGGAAGACACAAGGTATTGCACGGGTAGAATTCTCGCGCGTAATGAAATGCAAAGAAAATGCTTCATAATGGTATTATGTCGAACGGGGAGGGAGCCTAACACTTCACTCCTTTTGTCAAGCTAAGGGGCGCTTATCCAGACATTTATTTGAGGACGCCAATTGGATTTGGATTTTAAACAGTTTTAAAGACCATCAATTCCTGATATAGGCCCAGCGCATAAAAAAGGGTTGCAGAGAAACGACTGCGGGTAAAAACTTCGGCTGATCGTCCGTCAATGCTCGGTTTACCTGGAGGTCAAAGAACTTGCTGTAGCGCCTGAAGATGGCCTGCGAACTTCCGTCTGACCACGAGACACTGATGATGTACACCTGGAAAGACAGCAAAGGGTGCATTGCACGATGTCAGGAAAGATAACACTTGCGCACACATAGATAAAATAAATATTTTTAAAAACCTGCACATTTCCACAGTTTATCCAAAACATTCCGCCTGAAAAAACATTGCTACACCCTCCCCCCACCCCAACAAAGTTACATGTACTGTGTTGTTGTTGTTCCTTAAAGCAAATAAACAAAAACCACAACGTGGCAAACCTCACGGGCTATCAGCTACAGAACGTGCAATGCTGCCCTTCACGAGACCAATTATTGCCAAGCAGGGCGGCTGCCAAACATTTTTTGTAGAAATGATTCGGAGGTTTATTTCAGTTGGCCATTGCCTTGGCGCCTTAAACGTAATTAGCAAATTTAGATTTTTTTTTTCATTTGACCAGGAGATGGAGAACAACCCATACAGGCAGCGTCTTGGGTTAAATTACAAGTTGAATTTACAAATAAAGCCCACACAGTGTCTGTCGTGCGGGTTGTTGGCCATACTTCACCACACTGTTCAGTGTGGATCAGTGAAGTAGTAATGGTATGGAGTGGGGAGGGGGGGGGGGGCTATGATACCTAGAACCATTTCCAGCAGGTCCAGATGTGATACGCAAACAAATGTTATCCAATGCTGCCGGGAATAAAACTCAAGATTGCTGGGTTTATAGCACGGCGCGCTAACCATTGCGCCACCATTCCACGGCCGGCAGGGGATCAATATCTCACAGTGAGCCTGTCGTGGGCCACAGACGTCCGAGCTGGCACGACAAAGCGAACCCCCGGGACTCCTGCCCACAACTCAGACGGAGAGGGGCAAAATCCCGGAGAGCGACCACGCTCGCGGAGTGTGTGCTCGCCGAGACGGATAACAAAAAGGCTCCCCGGTTTAGAATGCGCCTAAACAGACAGCTACTTTGAAATGCGATTTGGTAACAAGCACCCACATGTATGCCTCCTCCTGCCAAACCACAAACAAGAATGTTGAAGATGTGCCCTACACAACGACGTGGGTATTGGATGACATTACAAATGCACAATCTGTACTCCTGTCCCTGCCCCATCAATAAAAAATTATAATCAGATATGGGAAATATAACCAGCGATTGTTAAAAAAAAAATCAAATTGGACAATACTAAGATTATTTATATTGGATCCAAAGTATAACATACTTAGCCTGTAAGCGATAGGAAGATGCGAACTTCTAAAAATAACTATGCTTATTGTAGTCAACATGAAGCTGTGCATTAGCTATTTCACAATTCCACATTCACAAATGTAAGAAAAATCTTATTATTTTTTAAACGATATAGATCTCAAATATAAACTCGTAAAAAGTGTGCACCTCCGATTAATACGGTTTGCTACGTGCGGTGCGAAAAAAGTTGAACATAAAAAACATGCATTCAATATAAATTCAATAAGTGTACAGTACTCATTATTTCCTAACCCACTCATACATTGCTTTGCCGTACCATTCACTATCTTACTTTATCCATCCACCGGCTCCCCTGATATGAAATAAAAGTGAAATTCTACGACCCTCCGCCAACATATACGCTGCGTGTGACTTACCCAGGAGCCAGAGCAGAGGTGAATAATATTCGCCTTTGCACTACGGGAGAAGAATATCAAAAAACTTTGGAGGCACTCGACCGAAGATCAGCGTGCAAGCCCCACGCTCATCTCGGCCACGAGTGAGCCCACCGCTTCAACCAGGGATGCAGGGAGCCCCCTTTCTATGAGCCGTGCGGAGGGACCCACGTGACCAAGCATGTGTTGTCTGTAGCACGTGTTCCAAGCAGCTGCAACCGTTGTCACCGCTGGCATTTCGACACATCTCATGGGCCCTATGCGATGCTTTGTGTGTGGGGGGCGGTGGCGGAGCTGGTTGGGCGCTAGGGGGTTGTGGAAGATGTGAGAAAAGTTGTGTTTTGTGTTTCTTCGCACGGCGAGGCTTACTATATAATTGATGCTTTGCACGCGCCGGCTATTTAAATGTTGAGCAAATGTTTCACACAAGCACGATCGTGCATCACCAACATTTCTCCACTGCCAACTAACTAATTTAGACTTTATATTTATAATACAATAATGTATGGCCTCGGCCTCAATCGAATAGTGTTGACAGTGCAATATATTATTCGGGATTAATAGGAAAAAAATGCTGAATGAGATCATTAGCATTTATTTTGTGCAATTCTTTTTTTGGCCAACACACATTTTCAGCTGACCAGAGCACAAGCGTAGGTTTTCGCAGTTTGTGCTCTATACCTCTCCGATGTGTTTCCGTGCCGGCTAAAATATATCCGACATTTCGCTCATCGTGATCGGAGCTTCTTCAAGAACTCAAATGAAGAAGCTCTGAGTATGTGAAGTGAAACGTCGGACATCATTCCGAACAACATTGGATGCGACCCAAGGTTGCTCTCTTCCTTCACTAACTGCTAAGGCGAGCAATTACAACTTGTACTGAACCAAAAAAAAATAGCTGGCTTTGCTCACACACTGGCAGCTGCCGAGAGTAAAAAAAAAACCTTCACGGCATTAAGGTGAACAGATGGACTCTGGCAATGGTCTATAGGATGCAGTGTTGAATAACTAATTGTCCTCGGGATTATAAATCAAAGTCGCACAATTTTATAGTGGCAGAGGATAGAGTGAGCGAGTGAGCGAAGATGGGGAGTGGCATTACGAGGATATTCCCTTTACCAGGTATTAGCAATCAGGCTCATCTCCCCAAATAAAAAAAAATAAAGTGATGTACACATTTCTATACAGCAGCCGATGGTTTACAACCATCCTTCACACTTGTCCATGAGCTCCACAGTGCACCGTCGAAATATCCAAGCTCCCGTATTAGACCGCGCACATTCGTGAACCAACGATAAGATATTGATCCAAGAACGAAACCAATGACTGACACGAGTGAAATTTGGTTTCTTGCGGTGCCCGTTGACCAATCAACACGACTGATGTGTGCGAGGCAGTGTGCGTCTGTGCCGAGCACAATTGTCAGATAGATTTTTTTATCTCTAATTTAAGTCAATGGCATAAGCACTACGCATCTCTCTCACGTCCCGTTTGCAAATGCCCAAGACTTGCCCAATATTTTATACACGGCGTTATTTTGCAAAAAAACAGCTTATTAACATTCAACCACAAATGCTGGCTTACGTTTTCGCGTTGTCATAATGTGACGAGGAAATATGCACGCTTGGAATTACAATAAGAGACAAGAGAGAGGAACGTGCGCATTCGAGAACACGCATATGCACGATTTCCAATCTATGAAGAAAAGTAAGTGGGCTTGGGTCAAGAATAGCAACGGAGCGGCAGCCAATGACTGGCGACGCTGGCTTGGGCGGGGGGGGGGGCCTTCATCCAGCGGTGGATTGACCAGAGCTATTGATGCTTGTCAAAAAACTCTCAAAAGTCATTGTGAATCCATCCATCTGCGTGGACCTTTGCAGTGTTGTCCCCCCCTGTTACGTAAAGAGGCAAAAGGTGTGTGCCTGGATCGCAAGTGCCGTAGCAGCAGCATCCCACTCCCCCCCCCCCCACACCGCATGTGTGATGGGCGTTCTCCAGATACTCCACACTCCTCTCGCACGAAGACAAACACCGATGAGTGGAATTGGTCAAACGGGCCATCGCCGTACTGAGACTCAGCGAGGCTTTTCTGTATACCGACATTCAATTCTTTTATTACCATTATTAGTCTAAGCCGCGAGTACAACGCTGTATTCTTTAACGTGCGCATAATCGAATCACCAGGGTATGATAATAGGTTTTTCCCCTTTTTTTCTGGCAACAAAACAGGTGTTAAGATGTTAAAAACACCTGTTTTCAGGGGAAAAACCTATTATAATATTTTGGTACTGGCAAAGGAGGTCCCATGATGAATCACCAGGAGTGCACCCAATTTTTGTCACATCTCAGGAGCTAAGAGGGGTTGAGCCTGGATAGTGCGCGGATGGACGGCCGCCATGCGTGAACGGGTTTTTATAGGGTGCGGATAGTGCAGAAAAATCCAATGTTGTACTGTACTCCATATGGCCCCACATGTATTCCCCCCACCAAGGCCGTAGCCATGGAGTCAACATTGGGGGGGGGGCCCAAATCTTCCAGGGTGTCTGGGGGTCCCAACCCAGAAAAATTTGTCAATTTGAAACTCATTTCCTGCCTAAAATATTTTAAAATTCACTAATACATGGGATGGATTTTTGTTTTTACAATAATGTCTAATAGTGTATTGTATTACATTGCTCTGTTTTAACGTTTTTTTTACCATTTCTTGTTTCATTGTATGTAATGGCAGAGATTAGGGATAAATAAAGTACAGCCATAATCACAATCATATGAACAGAAATCTATGCATTGTTATATGAAGACAAGTCCAGATATTGTGGCCAAGGTTTATCAAATTGTTGTTTTTATTTACACAGCATAATAATTATTTGTTATATATCAATATATTTTTGCGGGTGACATTTTGAGCATATTTGAATATTGGGGGGGATGTGTCCCCCCAAATATGTATTATAATTACGGCCTTGCCCTCCACCTTCACACAGCCACATTGACTCGTAGAGTATGGTGAAATAACCCCCACAACGTGCAGTGTGGGGAAGCCTTTATCCAGAAGGGATTTACAATACGGCTGCATGTGTCTGTTCATTAACATTTGATGGTCATGACCAGATTCAAAATGTTTCCAGCGTTAGATAAATGCTTTGGAGCCACCTAACATCCACACAGGGAGACCGGTGATTCCAGAGATGGCTACAGATTACTGCTAAATGCACATTCTGTGAGACATATGCTCCATTCGAGTGTATTGTTTATTTGTGGATGCAAAGACAGGGGAATCACAAATGGGTCTCTGGTGTAAAGAATGGCCATCGAAATGAGGACCTCAAAGTTCTTTTATGGACTACCTTTACTGAGATAGGAGAACCTTGTTTTAACAGTGATCACAATGGGATGGGAGACCAATGTCAAAGCTAAAGGTATACTGAGCATTGCCATTTCATTATAAAATAGTCGCACTAGGATTTATCCGTAGAAAGGTCCCCCCCAAAAAGACAAAATTTGTGACACGTTATTTTATTAATATCGCAAAAACTATTTTCAACTCTCAAAGCACAACATTTAGGAAATGGTGAAAATGTACGGTCATGTTTTTTTTACACTTGGGTTAAAGCTCCCTCGTCATGCATAGCTCATTATCAATGCCGAGGTCCTTGGTTATTTCCGTTCAGACTGATCTCTCATTAAACTCCGTACGACAACAAAATACAGGACTCAAATTCCGCGACCGCCAGACTGACAGGATATAATAAAAAAATATATAATGCATATATTAGTAATAATATATCTAGCCAGAAGCCAACTATGGAGCTTCAAAAAACCCTGATTGAGCTGTCAAAGAACGAGGTGCAAGTGCCCTCTTGCACCCTAATTTCCACAGTGCTGCAACCCACTCGGAAAAGGAAAACGTAACGTCACCGCAAACTACAATACTGGCCCATACTTCGAGTATAGCGGGACTGTATGTACGTATGTTGTACTCATCAGACGGGCACTCACAGACTTGCAGACGTCCGCCCGCCGTCCGTCCACTTAAAATGACGCTTCCCTGCATAATTGCCATCAATACGTGCGCACTCGAAAAGCCTCCACGCTCTCTGAATTGGCAGTGCAATGCAAAGGGCACGAAGAGAAATCGTTACCACCGCATGTTGAAGTGATCACAGTCTTCAGCCAAGTGGTTTGCGTCAGTAGCAGCAGCAGCAGCGAGAGAGACCTAACAATAACTCTGCCACGTGTACGCACGGAAAGTATATCTCCATGAAGGAGTTTTACTGCTGCCCATTTTGCTGTCCGAACACTCAGCCATTCCGAATGAAATGCTAAATTTTCCAACTTTTGAAAGCAACGGAGCGATACATTTGGACCTAAAATGTACCATCGAGTGTGCTCACGAAGAGCAACGTTGTCCTCCTTAGCAGGGTTCAAGTATGGCTGTTTTTAACAAACTGTCAGTCTGCAGGATATTTTCATCAGGTCACTCCGTGTGTGTATTTTTGAAGGAACCCAAGTCACAATGTTACGTGATTTACAGTTAACTAAAAATGGACGTTTATAAATGTACGTATCTATTTATGCTGATCGGTGGTGTAATGGTTAACACACTGGATTCGAAATCCAGAGGTCATCCGTTCAATTTGACCTCCCAACTGGGCGGTCGAATAATGGTGCATGGTTCTGAACCCACCCCCCGCCCCCTATTCACCACTCCCTCCGTCAACCCAGCAGTATACATGGGCACACCACAGTCAATCGCCAGGTCGCATGGAGTGGGGTGAAACGTGGGTACTCCCACCTCTTGTAAAAACGTCCGTCCAGGATAGACGAGTCAGCCAAAATACCCTCGAGAGGGCCTCTCCATTCCCTCTCTCTCGTGGCGGCCCTTCCACCAGCAGCGGAGTGAGCAAGCAATTGCAGGGCTGTACCTAAACCCTTTTGGGGTGCCGTGGTGTCCAGATGTTAACTGCCTTGCCTGGAATGCAATAGTTCATGGGTTCGATCCCAACCCTGAGGCCAGTGTATTTGGAGTTTGTGTATCTCTCTCCCCGTGGTCGCGTGGATGTTTCAATCCACGTTAGAATCAGCGTGCACTCAAGAGTATTTGGCTGCTAGAAATAGCCACATGATGATAAGCCACTTTGTTGAGCTATCATTTGTGGCCAGGTCACTTCTGAAAAAGAGCGATGTAGCTCAGTGGGCATTACCTGGTAAAAATAAAAACGGTTTTAGTAGTTTTAGTTTTTATCTGTTGATATGGTTGAAGCGTGAGAATGTCCCTGAACCTGCTTTATGTCAGCATGCCAGTGATAGGACAAGGTGGGGTCTGTGAGCAGTGTAAACACTCAATGCCCACAGAGTCCAGAGGTTCACTCGAAATACTGTGCCCAGTATCCATCGTCAAAACGACGGCTAGACACTGCACTAGTCATTTGTGTTTTACTCCCTGCGCGACGCAGTTCTACAATCAGATGCGATTACTTTACATTAAATTTTGATTTAAAGCTTTCGTGACTGCAGGGATTCATATTCTTGGTTCTTTCGCTCTCCGTGGTGCTAACGTTAAAAAACGCCACTTTTTTCAAATTTTCTTGCTGTGGTTTTCACACCTGATGATGATTGCTTGTGCTGCAGTCGAAACGTCGTGAGAATTTTATTGTTTTATATTTTTATTTTATTGTTTCCCTTCTACGTGACTTTACCGAAAGAAGCAAAAATACTTTACTTTAGTTTAAATTGGTCTATATGTCCACGCATTGGCTCTCTAAGGGTGTCATTCGATACTCAACGTCGATGTACGGGCACACGTTTCTTGTGCCCACTGTTTCCGGCAGCGTCTTGGGATGTCGTTGCATTTGGGCGCTGTGCAAATCCACGCTCCAGGAGCGTAGTGTGTCAATTCAAAAGTCATTCGCTTGTCAACTTCCTTGAATGCCCCCTGTCTCCTCAGAGACCCACGGTGGAATGTGCACGTTCTCAATTGTAAAGCCGGTCAACCTTGCTGCCCTCTCTTTGCTGCTCTGAAGAAGGCCCATTTCCTGAACCATTGGACAACTATGTTTTCTTCTCTGTTATACGACAGTGTTGAAGACGAATGTGATGATTTGTTTTTTACTCGTGCAGTATTCATCTGCATCCTCCCCCCTCCTTCACTAACGAGGCACTGCCAGCGTGGTGAAGTATGGCCAAGCAGCGCCCATCACTGACAGGGTGTGGGGGAAGCTTTAATCCAGCGGTCGATTGATAAAGTGACGTTGAACAAACCACGTTCATCTGGAAGCCACCCGCACCCCAACACAATGTAACGCCGTCTCTCTCGATCGTGCATGTCTAATTCCCTCCACGCCTCACCCCTTGTTAATTTCCACAGATATATTAGGCTGCACGCAACTTGTTTACGGAATAGGCCTGACCCACCTCGCACCGTGGGGAGTTTGCTCGCTGCAGGAAATATTTATTGGCAAATGATGTCATGACACAACACATGATGACCTACTATTGGTAAGAAGGAAAAAAACCCGTCCACAAGGAATCGGGTAAGATAGCAGGCTTAATGTCTTCTCAAAGCAAGGCAGGCTTCTTGTTGATAAAGTACATGCAATTTATTATCTACGGGGGGGGGGGGGGGGGGCAGATCGTGGCAAAAAATGAGGCCAACCAGCAAACCCTAGTACTAGACAAGAAGTACAATGTCAAAATAGACAACCGCTGGAAGCACTATGCACTATTCTCTAAGCATACTAATATTCACTAGC